TCGGTCCATGAATTATGTAACTGGCAAAATCACGCGCCGCTCTCTCTCTCTCTCTCTCTCTCTCTCTCTCTCTCTCTCGCTCGCGCGCCTCGCTCAAAGGCTATTTGATGTCAGCCTTTTCCAAGTTGTAATTAGTCTGTCATCAACTTCAGCCGCCGATTCGTCATGAATATTTATTTACTTATTAGCTACTGTACCGCTGCGTTAAAAGCACCAGTAGCTTGATTTACTAGGGCCTTCATTTCTTTGTCATTATTGTTATTAATTTGTCGTGTGCATGCAGTACAGCAATGAAAATCATGGCTCTGAGGGGTGACAATCTCATCTGTTCTTGCAGTTGCATCAGTATTCATAAGATGTCAGGCTACATGATATTTCCAATACATCGCTCTCGTTGATCCCAGCGAGATAGGCACTCACATCCAATAAATAAAGTCGACGCGCTCGACTGAACTGGCGCGCTGCTACTGATGGAGACGAGAAAGCTCGGAGAGACAGATACATGGCAACGCGCGTCTGTCGCTGTATCGCCAGCATTAATTTAGTTTTCGAGTGTTATGTATTGTACTACACGTGGCTTGTGAAAATTTTGCTGAATAAATTCCACGTAACTCTGTAAATTAAAGCCGTCTCGGAAAAAAGAGCAATGGGCGTTTTTCAAACGCACCTCCTACTCACGAAAATTCATTACTATGGCAGTTTAAAAGCAGATAATTAGTGAATAATAATTTATTCGGCATAATATTTTTCTTTTTGTTTTCATTATCTGACAATTGTGTGCGCGCCGAGTGCTTGCACAAGCTACTGCAATATCACGTATAATGAGAATACTTGTACGTTTCAAATTCGCTATTTCTGCTTAAATTTATTGTTTCTATAATGCTTGCTGTAAGTTTGATGAAGTACTCTTTTAGAATTACGTTGAACAAATGGACGAGTTGAAATATAAATGTATTGTCGTTACCGTAGCTGTAAATTGAAATGCGTTTATAGTTGTAAATTTTATTTCATAGTCTCGATTTTACCAATTTATCAGTCTAAGATGATAAAAGTAAGGGATTTTCAAGTATTAAAACTCGCTGCAATAAATGGTTTTATCGCGACATCTAGCTTAAACATTTTATTAAAAAAAATATCAACAATACAATAGTATTAACGATTATTTCATGTGTTTATTTATCACCTGCGACAATACACAATTTTTCCGATGTATTCGACTGATATTTGGCGAATAAACATGTGTGTCGAGTGAATAAATAACAATTTAACCAAAGCTCGATCTAAAAATCTTTTACTGCGCATTTCCACTTTCCCATTAATTACCAGAAAATCATATATAACTCCACACGCGCCCGAAATTTTGCTTAATTGACCATGTAATTTCGTTTACAGATTTTGTTTTTGCTTTAAAGCAGATTAATCAGTTCAATTTCAAACGAGTTATTAATTAACAAAACGTGTACGCATACGATTTTCGTGCAAAAATTAAAATATTTAGACTTAACATACGTCGACAGAGAGGGATTCGAATGTTAAATTAATCCAAAGTAGATAACTCGTCGGCGTAAATTAATCAAACGTACATACCATCGAACGTTTGAATAATGAACTATGCGCGTGCGGTTACACACACACACATATATACACATGTGTCTATGTGTGCGTGTGTGTGTGCGCGCGCGTGTGTATAATCACATATACATATATGTGTATAGACAAAATGACACGATAGAAATAATTGATCGAATAAAAAGAAAAATAGCTTAGTACCTGGAGAACTTATATTATTTGATTACTGCGGTTTTGCGTAATAAGTGCTCGTGGTATAAATATATTGTCCGCGTTTGTGCAGTTGACTTGACGTTGGTCTGCTGGGTCTGATGCTTTTAGTCTAGCGCACGAGCTTTTAAGATTTCAGGATACTGCTTTACACTGAAGCCTGATGGGAACGCGGATTTCCAGCTGAAGGATCCTCTACGTTTACAACCCAACTTGACTTGGTGTGTGAGTATTCATGTTTGATGAGTTGTTTGTTTCTAAATAAAGTCTCTTTATCCTCTATTTAAATGAATAGAAAAAATTCGCGTGAACGGGCAAACAAAGCAATACGTATTTTTATGTTCTATTTCTTTTCAAACGTCATTGATTAACGTTGGGATATATTTTTTTCTCGTGGAAATATGCTTGTCATGTGAAATTTCGTAGTCAAATAACAACGTTGAAGATCAAATTGCAACACTGGTGTTACAGTTGCATTGAATTTTTTTGCCATCGTGAAAAAAGAAGTGACAATTTTGACAATTGACGTGAGAATAACAGTCTGTTTTATTCATGAAAAATCTGTCACTCGATTCATCGTGATGTTCGAGTACAACTAAACTCATCAATAAAGAAAAGTCCACTGGTCGCCTTGATTAAGTCGAAAAGAAAAAATAAATCAATCTGGTGAAACGTTGAGAGGAGAAAATCTGCGAGGATAGAAGGCACAAACCACCGTCTTCTCTCACGCCTCGTCGTAAATAATCTGCAGAAGAGAAAGAGAGAGAGAGAGAGAGAGAGAGAGATCTTGGCCGGGGTGGCGGAGGGAGGTAACCGAGCGGTCATTCGGCAATTTACGGCTGCGGCGTGGCTCTATGCGTCATTCCGCGCATTACCATCAATCAGGCGCGCGGCGTTGCCGTCGGAAACGCATTGTTTCAGCTGCATTATCCCGCTGAATCCCTTTATGATTGCAGAACGCTCGCTCGCAAGAGTTACCCCAACGGACTCCGCTTCACTGGATAAAAAGCGTCGCGTGCGATGAATTTTTAGCATCTACAAATCCATGGCCATTCTGACTCGTTCTTTCTGCTCTTCATTATTCTTATTTAAACTTCGTTCAATCCATTCGTCAAGTTTGCACTTTGGCGATTTTAACTTTGCTAATGAAAGGTTATATTGATGTAATTATTGAAGAATTCGATGATTAACTTTGTGCTGCAATATATTGGAATTTTTCTGTTGTATTTAATATATATAATCGAAAATTTCTGATGCTTTGTAATTGCCTTAATGTTAATTAAAAAGATATACGTGCGAAAGTCTATCGATTATTTCCAAATATGACATTCTTTATTTAACATCGAAGAACAGGCTGATAGCTTAATAATCATCAATACTTTAATATATCAAAAAGAACTTTAGCGTTAACAGAAAATAAAAAACATTTTTATAAACACATTGTCAGTTGCTTTATATTTTTTTTAAATTTTCGGATTTATTCTTTATTATCGGATTCAAAGAAAATTAGCATAACTGTATTCAACGAGTGGGAAAATCAAGAAATTGATTTCTTACGAGATTTTCTTATAGCTTTAACGCGAGAAAATGGATTTTCATCATATAAGACAGGAAGAGAGAGAGAGAGAGAGAGAGAGTGGGAGGGAGAGAGAGAGAGAGAGAAAAAAAAGAAGCAAAACATTTGATCTGCAGGACAAAGGGTTAATTACATCTAGCTCGTTATTGTGTGGCAAGCTGATTTATGGCAGTGTCCTTATGTACGTTGCGCGTATATGTATGTGTATATATATCCAGCCAGCGCAAAGTTTCTGGATCGTTCGCAAAAGCGAATGTTCTTTTTTTTTATCCTGCCACGAACGAATGATGAGAAAAGTTGATTCGGCTTGATCTCTCTCGGAATCTGTCATTCCTTATACCCTTAATAAAATCTCTCTCGACGATAAATGACATTGAGGGGATTATTGAAATTGGCCAAGGAAAAAGGAAAGAAAAAATAGAAGAGAGATTTGCTAGTGTTCCATTATCACGTAAATCAGCAATGCCTCTTTGGAAAGTCAGTTTTTTGGTGCAAACTTTCCTTATGGGATTTGGCCTTAAGTGTAATGGTAACGCCTGACAAAGGAGAACGGAGAGAAACAGAGGGAATGGCTTTCATTGAAAAGTCAACGTTTCACGCGCATTGTGTTGTGCGCGGCAATTAAATAGGCGCGTCCCATTGTTGGGTACGCTGAGACAGTTAATTGTTGCAAATTTTTCGCCAAATGTGGCAGAGTTTGGTTAAGAGGCTTGCGCGTCGCCAAAGCAATTAGCCAACTAGAGAGTATTGTACGGCAACGACGACGAGGGTCATTTCAATTGTACGCCAGAGAGCTCCGTCCTAGCAATTGCGTGTAAATTACACAATACTTAGCCGACCGGTTCTGCATTGTTGGCGACGAGCACTGCGTTGTTGTTTCAAAAAAAGCCGATGCTAATTAATGTTGATGTGCTTGCTCGCTTAAAGCGACACCTCATGAATTATTCAGTGAGCCTTCGCTTGTTTACTTTATATCGCGCCAAGCTTTCCCATTCTCCCAGCAGCTTTATCATGCTTATTTAAAACAAAAGACACGATCGATCGCGTATCCATGACTGCCGCGGAGAGGCGGCGCTGATGCAAGATTTTGTTGCTCTCGGCTGTAACCAGGTGCTGCTGAAAACACTAAATTACCCGACGCAGCTGTACACTAGCTACTTCCGTAGTGGATATGTGTGTGCGATGCACATACCTACCTGATTTAATGTCTGCGTCTACGGGAAATTTTGATCCAGTCTATTTGTGGCTCCGATACTCGTGTTTCATTGACTTTCGTCATTGAATTTCAGACCAACAATGGACCATATTGCGCAACATACTTCTCTCAACAAACGTAAAAAATTCTTACGTGGAAAAAGTCCAGTGAGCTCTACGAATGTTAGTTGGAAAAAATAAAGTTCTCTTTCACAAGAGGGCATTGTTGTGGATATGCCCTATAAAGAATTTTTTCAAAAGCTCTCGCGAAATTTCTTTTTCCCACCTCTGTACACAAAAGAGACGGTAAATTAGCTCACTTGAATGAATGACGGCGAAGAAAAATCTCTGTGAACGAAAAGAAACAAATAAGAGTGGGAAAATGTGATAGGTAAATTAAAAACAGTGCAAGTTTTGAGTTTTACACAATTCTCAAAATATTTATTTTAAAACTCATCGCTCAGTTTTCGCAATTAGTTAACCATCAGAGTTTTGACAATCGTCAAATCTTAGCTTCAACTTTGAAAGATATAATACAAAGAAAGGAGAAAACGTTATAATAAAGCGATGCGCGTTATTTTTTATTTCGATGTAATTCTGTTTACCTGTATATACATTTTTTTTCTTTTTCTTTAATCATTATTGTTATTATTATTATTTCCCCGTACTGTTTGTCTTGTTGCTTATTTTTCTTTTCTTTTGGTCTTCTATCGTATTCATCCCAACGACGTCTCGTTCGATGTCAAAGTGAAGCAAGAAAACGAAAAGACGTGTGCGATTGTTGACTTAAGAGGAATAAGAGGAAAGCGTAACGTAATAGATACATATTATTAGAGAGTTAACATAAAAAATGCACACTCAACGTGAACGAATTCGCACTCAATTGTTTTCTCGAATCAAGTGAAATTAAGAAAGCGACGTCATTGGGTTGTTTGAAGCTCGTTCGATTAAAGAAAAAAGTGTATGTGTGTGCTCGATTACGTGTGTTTTTTCATACACCGAATCAATATTATATCATCCACGAAGAAATTGGCACCTTAAATGTACAATAAATAAGCACATTATTCTGAAATATCTTTACAATTCCTCTCTTGAAAATTCCTTCGTGAGGAGATTATATTTCTTTAATCTCGCTGCTTGAACTTTATTGTTTCGGAAAAACTAGTACATGCATGCGCTTCCTATGTATACGAGTGAAAAATAATATATTATACTCTGCATCTTCCGCGCATCCCACAAGCGATTGCCTCGAGGCACGCGTATACGTTGAGAGGAAGAAGAAGAATAAAGGAGAAGGAAAAAGAAGATAGAAACACAAACAGCGCCGCCGCGCTCAGCCAAAAAATATATTTACATTGTCGTTCGTACAACACCTGTTTACACGCCAGCGGCTGACTCTTTATCCATATCAAAGTTGTATATATATATATAATGTGTGTACTTTTTCAAGTAGAATTTTCTCCCAAAAAGCCCTTATTCGCTGAGGGGAGTGTATTAATTACTATTTTATTTTTCTTTATAATATATTAATTCGCTAGCTATTATTTGCAAACAAGTCAGATTTTTGATTTTTAATCTTTATGCTGTATCATTTAATTACATGCTGTTGTTGATCATCTTTAGAAGTCTTATGCGTATAGGTAAACACGATGCTTTTTAAATTGATTAAAAATGACGTATTACGTAAAAGGATATTCGAACGCAATCCCATGTCGATTACTGAAATCTGGGAAACCTTCATATTCTAAAACTTCATCATTTGGTTAATCTAAAAGGCTATTGGTAACTTTTTTTGATATTGATCGTTATCACAACTATAAAATCCCATGTAAATCGCTAAGTTATTATAAAATACACCTGCTCTCTCCATATCATACATTTTGTTATCAATAGTTTTGAAATAAAAAAAGAGTTGTCTTTACAGGTAAAAAAAACAGCAGTAAGCAACACACTTTCGCCCGCAAAAAGTAATAACTAGGGATGGGAAGATGGAGAAGTAGAGAAAGCAAAGTAGTACGAGCGTACGTGTGGCGCGACAATACACAGGCGCGTAACCTTTAGAGTGTTTCCAGAAGATTCTGCACGAGTAACGCACTTTTCCTCTGACGTGGACTGCAGGAACGTACACCACAACGTCCTGATGATCGCTCGAGTTGCTCGGATTTGTTGCTATCTTGCACGGGGACGCGAGCCACTCTTGGTCGCGACTCGCAACCGTTTTCCTGAAAATAATAACAACAGACAACACTCAAATGGTTATTCATGTATATTGTTATTTGCTTCTTTCTATTAACTTATATTTTATTTTTTTGGAGAGAAAGTTTTATTTTCGTTTTTTTTTTTTGTTTTTATGTTTTGATACGGTCCATACAGTTCTTTTGCTTTTATCATTGTATGCTTCAAGTTTTCTTGTTAAATCTAAGACTCCTTCGTATAATTAATTGATGAAGAATTTTTTAAATATACGTATAATAATTTTAATATATCTTTCTTAAGTACTCATAGGAAGAAGTCAAAATTATAATTTTATTATGTTCATTTATGGCATTGCGTGTTTCTAGCTTTTCTAGTCTTTTGGTACTTTGCTACTCGTACTATTTGCTATATCTTTGTAGGTGTAGTACTGTTGGAAGATAAACGGAAAAAGTATTTTTAGACATATTTATCTAATAGAAAAATATTTTTAATTATTTTTAAGAATTTTATAAAAGTTTATATTTTCTAAACATTTAAAATTACGGATGAAAGTTATAAACAGTTGAATGTTCAATTAACAAAAAAAGTATACCACGAGAGCATTTGACAACATTTTTCATTATAAAATAGGATCGTAACGAGTTCATTGATTCATGGAAATTTTCGAATCGTCGATGAAGCCATCTTTAAAGGATAATGTGGTAGAACACTTACACATGCACACACGCACGCATACACAAGCCGAATGTATATTCAAAGAAGCTAGACCATAAATCTGGCTTTAGTTTGGAATTTGAATGGGTTGCTCGCAGTACTTATGTTAATTGTGTCGCATTGTAATTAACTTCAAATCTTGATGCTCGTACCTCACTGTCTCTGCAAAGGGATTCGCGCAAAACTTGGCAAGTCAGGATATTACAAATTGGTCTTTGACTTGTAACCTTGTCAATGAGTCAAAGACTCGACGTCAACTTAATTAACTTGCTTCGCAAACGAATTTACATATTTCAATGGCAGTCAGAGAGAGAAGGGGGGAGAGAGAGAGAGAGAGAGAGAGAGAGAGAGAGAGAGAGAGAGAGCGAGAGAGAGAGAGAGAGAGAGAGAGAGAGAGAGAGAGAGAGAGAGAGAGAGAGAGAGCCAGAGATTTCATTTAATTGAATAACTCAGAATTTAGCTCTCTCTCTCTCTCTCTCTCTCGTCAATTAACTTCAAAATGAACCGCTGTACACAAAAGCCGAAATATATACACATTACAGGTCAAATCACGTTCTCTTTATACAAAAGTAAACATCACACATACTAGTAATATAATAAAGAGAAAATAAAAATCTGCTTACGAAAGCTTAACAGAGCGCATCATTACGCATGGATATGCATTCATCCAGCTTTCCCTCTCCCGTCCTCTTCATTGCTCTCTCGTTGACACCTAATTAATCCAAATTGCGCGAGGAATTTGACAAACAGTATAACCTAGATGTATGCGTGCGTGTGCATGGGATTCAGTGTGGAAGCAACAACTGCACGAATATGTGAAAATCAGGTACAAAGGCAGCTTTCCTCTCCCTTTCACTTTCTCTCACTGTCCAAATGAAGGTATCTATTGAATTAGAATTATGACGATCTGCGCTCCCTCTTGCTCCCTTTTTCTCTCTCTCCCTCTCTGAGGGCTTCTAATTAATCCTTTCAAGAGGCTTTCCCTACCAAGAGGCCTCGTTTCTCTGCACCAAAATGAATTTTAAATGGAATATTCTCCTTCCCCTATGGCTATTAAGCTATTGGAGAGCGAGTAAAGGAGGGTTATTGATAGTTAACCACCTCAGCACGAGCTTCATCGATTTAACTCACCAGTAAGCAAAGATTTTGTTGATTGTGGTGGTCGTAGCTACGTTGTCGAGACTCGTGTTGTAATTGCCATGCTTGGATGTACAAATCGCCGCGGTAGATGAAACTGCCTTGACGAGCGCGTAGCATGATGTGCCATCTGAAAATGATTGCGGTTGCTTTGTTTTACTTTTCATTGAAAATTCAAAGCTACATGAGATTCAACGAAAGAATGCTCAATTTAAGGTAATGTTTCGTTAGTATCCAAATCCGGTATATGAAACAGTTTTGCAACATCTGCCGAATTTCATTAATGTAATTACCAATTAGAATATCTAGCTACCATAATTAGAGTCTTCATATAAATTTTTTCAAATTATAATAAAAATTGATTTGTAGAATAATAGCCGCTGTTCTAAGAAAACGTAAATTTTCATTTACGATCGCGTCGCAAATGGAAATTGAAACAAAAGGATAAGAGAGAACGGTCAGACAAACCTCGAAATTCAATGCTACTATATAAGCGCATCGATATAGTATTAAATTCTGCGAGCGCACGCCCGCGTTCCATATCTCACCTCGACTTCTCAATCCGAATATAGTATTAAGCGATTAGAAATGGTATACCTTGTTGATTATATTAATGCAATTTCAAGGAGAGAAAGAGAACTCGAAAGAAACTATTTTCTTTTTTCGGCTCCCTTCTGCTATTTTTTTTACCTTAATAGAAACCAAATAAAAAATAAGTAAGATAATAATGATTGATTTTTCCGGCATGTGGCACCAGGGTAAACAAGTCGGAGTTTATATATCGATTTGCTAAAACCGATATGCACATTACAGATAATTTTTGCAGCCTTTCGGTACGAGATTGCCCAAGCGAATTAAATAGTAGCTTTATCATCATATCAGGATTGACCTCTACAACTAATGATTCGATCATCGCCATAGTTACTTTTTTAAATAAATCGATAAAATGATCATCAATGGTAATACATTAACAATTAAAAGGTAATTTCTATCATATACTGTTGTCGTGTCGCAATGGAGAAATCAATAGTCAGTTTGCTATCGATATATAACGAGAAAGCGGGGAGTGTAAAAAAAAGGAAAAAATGGAAGTTGCTACGAATTTCACGAGTAATTGAAATAAATGATTCATCCTGCCACTCAATCTCTCGCATTATTCACTTCCAATATTCCCTTTTCGTCTATATCTAATTTTGTAGATTATTTCTCAACTACTCGGTTTTAATGTCGTCTCCTCTGGTTGGAAAACTTTTTCGCTAGCGTCGGTCGAAGAAAAGAGGTGGGAATTAGGTAATCTCACCTGGTAATGAGTTGATGCACTCGTGGCCATTGGCCTCGAGACCTCAGTATCCGTGCAGCACCAAGAAGCGAGCTACGGTGCGTCGGTGACAGAGACATGCCCTCGAGGTAGTACTTCAATGCGGGAAGCCACTTGCCTACAAGCACATTTTTCAAGGGCCTTATTTTCACTTCCTTTGTAAGATTGCGCTTAAAACTTTCGTTTGAAAGGTCAAACGTTTGCATTTTTTCTATTTGTTTGTAAGTTTATCATCAGCTATATCCGACAAATCAAGAGAAATTCAGACAAAAATGATACGTAACACTGTCCAACGTGTCCAACGGAAAAATGAAAGAGGAAAACGCTCACGCACAGCCCCAAAGGGAAAACTGTTGGACAGTCAAGTCTGGACTACGAGGGAATTAAGATAATAAGCGGTGTAGAAAAGAATATATAGCTCACTCACCATTCTGATAAAGCCAGTTGGCATACTCAGCCAGAAAATCTGAATTTCTGGGTTGTAATGTTACAACGTGCCTTAGCAAAGACCCAGCCGATGGTCCGCTTGTCATACGAGCGAGCACAAGGTAAGCTGGTGTATAGGCTGGATCCAGTTGTACACACTTGCGTAACATCTGTATGCATTCCTCGGTCCTATTTGTTCTCCTGCAAAAATGAGATAATATGTAAATTCTTGGCATATATTATCTTTCTCGCGAGGGCTAACGTTTCTCTTTTCGCTTGACCGAATCGCACTGAGCTACTTCCGCCATCGGATAACACATGTTTACCAACGTTGATCTTGCATCGCTTCAAAGGACGCATTTATGCGACGTCGACGTAACGTACTTAAAACATTGGCCGTCTTGCTTTTAGCAACGTAACGACATTTGCCGAGGTTGCAACGTCAAAGCCAGAGCACGAAGAAGAAAAGAAGCAAAACAGTTGAACGTAGTGCAAGAATTACGAGAATCGTCGTCCTTTGGCCGCGAGCTTTCGATGAGCGATCGGAGCGTCAAGTAATTATGGACGGAAGGCGAGAGCAAGTATGCCTAAAAGGTATTTGCAGTGTGCGCGATATGCACGGGGCACATAATTATGCTTAGTATTTTCGAAATTCATCGTTATATCCCGAACCCAGTGCGAAGCCAGCTCCGTCCACTTGGCGCACGTCACAGGAAATTCCGCGCTCCGCTACGCGCGACGAATAAAGCTGCAGTGCAGCCGTGGTATGGCGTTTCAAAGTGCCATCACGAAAATTGCCCCTTGCCTTTCCAGTCCGGCAGTATCGCCAGGCACAAAGCTAGTTATTGCATTCGTGCTTGCAGTGGCACTGCGATGAATAAAACTGCCGCGCGATGCGCCGGAGATAGGAAATAGAGAGGAAAAACGCAAACCGATCTGTCGTAAATCGAAGAGTGAAGAGTTACGATGGCGCCAAGTACCGTCGCGCGCGCGTGTAGCGCCCGGCACACCACGGGCTAATCGACTTTTTAGTTTTAGGAAGAACAAAGGCCTGCAACCTATCATTAACGCGCTCGCGCTCTCTCGCTCTTTGGCAAAGTCGTCCGCTGGCTTTAATCTTCCTATAGATCTGCTTTTCTTTAAGTAGCGAGCAAGTTGGGCGTTTCCATTGAGCGGCAGCTACGCGTGAATAATTGACTGCTAGTGCAGCAGCACCGCCAGTGCTGGCCTACCTGTACAGTTGGCCGAGGTTGTAGTGCGCGTTCACATGGCCTGGCTGAGCCTGAATGGCTGCCAGAAAGTGCTTCTCTGCTTGGTCGCCCGCTGTCAAGGTGCCTAGATTGTTGTGTGCGCTCGCGTATGTTGGCCATAGCCTGAAGCATTTAACAGAGAGCAAACGTTTTTTTTGGTTCGTGCACTCGATGCAGCTAGTATGCTTTCAATTTCACTGGGCTTATGGTTAGTTGCACCTTGGCTTTAGAGGCTGTTTTTGCAAAAGCTCGATTGAAAGTCGCCATCGACGCACGCTTTCGGCAGCAACAGATCGCATTTTTCGATGCGATACAGTGCGGTACAGTGTTACTTTCACTCGTATCTTTACTCCTTTAACTTTTTACTTATTTTCAGCGTAATTCTTTTATCGAATGTACTCTTCATTTCAGTTCATTCTTTTACTCAATTTAAAGGATCTTTTCGGTTCGAGCTTGACTCAGTAAATAAATACTTTTTACTGTGACAACTTTTCTTTGAGTAACTTATTATGTAGAATAGTTAGCATATCGATTTGGGTATTTTGAAGTTAAGGAGATCAGTTAGCTCTAATAGTCATCAAAATTCAAGTAAGACAACAACTTTTTGATCGGATAGGAACTGATGCCGAAGCTAGTCGAGCTTTTACAATGGCCTAGTATTTTGTCATTATAGCGAAAACTAATTGAATAGCAATATTTTACTAATGAAATTGTCGATCCTCCTTGACTTAATGTGAACTGAAAAGTTGTAGTATTTTACGATCATAGATTAAGAAACAATACTGAAATAAACATAAAAGAAAAAGAATAATAAGTGTTTCTGCTGATCAATCTTCAGCATAAAGCATCCTTACCTAAAACAAATTAATGTTGTGCTTTTACCGAAACATTTCAAAACTTTTCAACGATCGCTCCAAGCATTTTTAGTCAAGAGAACGAACTCGTCGTGGATCGATGTCAACGTCGTCGGACAGTCCAACGATGATATCACGTCAGTGACATTATATCGGAAGCTCCTCTATAATATGCGTTTCATGAAAGCGTCGTCTCCCTCCCTGCCCGCGTACCGTACGCGCTTGACACGGACGTCACTCGACAGTGACAAACTCGCGTATCCATCTACTCTCACCCGCCCCTTGTCATTCTCGCTCATGCCTAGCATTACCTATAATATGCTCACGAGTTCGAATATATCATATGAGCTGTCCGTGTAATACGACTCTTCAGTCTCGATCCTCCTAATCTTGACAACTCCTCTCTGTTCTCGAAGTAATGAATTTTCCTGAGCAAGGAACAGACGCGTATATGCGAAGCTCTCGTCCACGATGGCTGGATTTTGTTAGCTCGTTATACTCGCACGGCGTCCGTACCAAAGAATTACACGCTTTTACGTGCTTTCGTTGATTTGTGGAATCACGCGTATTACCGCTGAATTATCGCGTCTCGTTCGCGGAAAATTGGAACTCAAAGCTCTATACTTTATCAAACTTATCGAGTATATCCTCTTTCTTTACTTTCTTTCATGAATTTGACGAATGATTGATGATTTCCCGTACAAATACGAAGGGTTTTTATAAACGATTCACAGAAAATCGTTCAATCAAAATATCTTTTGTACACGCGAAAAAATGACTTCCAGCCAAATACAGAGGATTGATTCGCTCCGCAAGAGGCTACCTATAACGGAAAAAATTGATTTACAATTCCAAATCCGTTGAAAATTCATTTAGCCTACTGATTGTGAGTGCCAATGATCGAATAGTGTTCAAACTCATCGACGTATAATAATAAAGTGAAATAAAGTGAAAGCGAGTGCGTGTTGAGTTAAAGTAGCTGTATTAGATTTATAAAATTCAACACTACTTGAAAGATGTATAGTTGGCATACGTAGTCATTTCACAAAAATAATTTGCCTTCCTTCATTCGAATGATAAACAACGTAAGGTGAGAGAGAGAGAGAGAGATAAAGGTTGAGAGAGGATAAGGTGAGGGAGGGAGGTTTGCAAGGTGAGTACTTTATCTCTTTCTTGTAAATAAAATAGGTTATTTATTATCCAATAAAGAGACACACTCTCGCGAGCAAGAGAGTGCTTGTACCCGCGGGCCTTTGCAAAAACGGACCTATCAAGCTAAAGCTTCTCCGTTTCCTCTTGCGCGCGAGCGCGTGAGGCATTCCATTTTTAATGGACCTTAAGAAAGATGTATATATATATATATATATATATATATATATATATATATATATATATCCACTTGCCTCAGCCTTCTATATGTTAGAATATGAGGGCTCTTTACTGTTGAAATATAATAGACTTAAGACATCATTGCACTTATTGTGTTACGTATTTATTTGATAGCTTGAATGGACTTTAACGACTTTTGAGCTACTGGATCTTTATTTTTTCTATACTGTTGCTGTCAGTTAGATTTATTGCTTTATTTTATTTCATGGAACGTTGGTGTGATATTAGAATGTATATTTTTTATGCTTTTGAGCGAACAAAACTAAATTATTTCTGCAAACAAAAAATGATGTTTTTATTGCAACTCCGTACCTAAAATTTCATCATCCTATTATGACATTGGTTTCAGTCGATAAACTTTTCGTTTTTTAATAGCTCCACATACGTCAAGCGAAGGGCGAAAAAAACCAATCGAATTAGATAGATTCGCGAGCGCAGCAGCAGCAGAAGAGCGCGCTAACAAAAAAAAATATCATAAAAGGGTTTTGGAACGACGACGCCCTTAAATCTCGCGGTGGTAGAGCTTTCGATCGCAGCAAGCTCATAAAATCGGTGGAGCGCAAATTACGATTCGCGCATGCCGTCGCCGCGGGCTCTGCCAGCTTTACGATACACACACCCATACAGCAGCTCATTTTTTTTTCTTGTGTCGCATCGAAACAATCGACTTGGAGAGCGAGAGAGAGAGAGAGGGAGAGCGAGAGAAGGGAGGGGGCTGGAATTGTAAAGGAGAAAGCCTGCGAGCATCGAATATTCGACGACTTTCTATCTCAAAAGGTCTCTTCCTCTTCTTCTTCTTCTTAGACTTTCGTCTCTGAAAGTTCTTCTTCTTCTAAGTCGTTTCCTCCATGCATGCGTGGCTTCTTAGCTTCGAGAGCAATAGCGAGAGAGCTTTTTTCTTTCATGTCCAAAAGCCAACGTCATAGACGCTCGACGAAGCAAGTACGATATAATGACAGAAACGCCATCTTTTCTCTATGAATAACTCACTGTGCGTGTTGGTGCTATCAGGTTAAAAGTAAACCAATCAGGTATAGTCGCGCATGCGAGAGGGAGAGAGAGAGAGCGAGAGAGAGAGAAAGAGAACTTAAACTTTTTATGAACGCAGGAAGAGCTGCGAGTTTGGTAGAAGCGCCTCGAGGCTGCAACAGCAGCAGCAAGCAAAGATGGCAAGAAGATGAGAAAGTAAAAGAAAGCGCCAGCGCTGCTGAAAAACTTTCTTTATTGTATAAAATACTTTATTTCCGCGGCGACTTAACTATTTATTACGGGGAAAGAGTTCTCGTCTCTTCTCTTTTTTCGTTGAGAAAGAGGATGAGCGCAAGGCTAATTATAAAAGTACGATTAATTTTTTTGTTTCTCGAAAAGTTTCGTAATTCGACTGAAAATCCGTTGCCGAGTATACGCTAAAAATGCTTTGTTAATCGCTGAGTTAAGTCGCTGATGAGACTAACAAGTTTTGCTAGCGTAAATTGACGAATTTCGCCCACCCATTCGAAACTACAGAAAAGTCCAGGTGCATTGCGCGACTCGCACGCAATTTCAAGTGTTGCAATTCGTTAAGCCGGTTTGATTGGCGCACTTCAGGGCGCAAGTGCCACTTGGCAAATAGCGGCGCGTATCGAGATGATGAAGAGCGCGAACGGGCCGTATAATTTTTTCGATGTGAACAGCAACGGTGATGAAAAGAAGGAACGATTTAAAATGACAACAGACCGGCAGACGCTTAGATTTTGGCGCGTCGCGAAGTGAGATAGGCAGAGGTGATTTATGACGCGATAGGCTCGCGTTTTACGCGACGGCGCGGCGTCGGCGGCAAGAGACTGAATAATGGTAAGGGTGGCCTGGCGGCCTCGTAAAACACCAATCAAACAATGCATTATCGTAAATATAAGCCTCCCTTCCCTTCCGCGGTGTAAAATTTTCAATGGGCTTTGTATCTATCTCGTCGCCAGAGGCGCACCCTTTCTCTCGGGCGCAGCAGCTCAGTTTTACAACGCGCGCGAGCGAACCTTTCATTCGCGAAGATCGGCATATCAGAAAAGCCCGCCTGATGGAATTCTCCCTCTCTGCCTTCGTTCTGCAATGTCTGTTGGCTATATAACGTTGCGTGACTAGTCGTTTCGTTTTATTATTTTTGCACACGCCTAACGTGTCTGCGCGCACACTCAGTCACGCTTAGCTCCCGCTGTAAACGCTTACACATCGTTCTGCCTGCTCTCCGAGCGAGTGCGCGCAAAATTAACAAAACAAGTAGCCAAAACTGCACGGCAAATTATTTGGCAAATCTCAGCTCGCAGCTTATTTGGCAAAATTATTAATAAAGTCAACATCTGAGCGCGTACAAGGTGCAGCTTCATTTAACTTGGCATTTAACTCAAATCAGCTTGGAAATCGAGCGGAAGCCATAGCGTTCGCGTTGGCTGCAATCCCAAAACTTGTTTCCTAGTGTTCGCGCGCAACAGCTAATATCGCACGTGTGTATGCTGCGTGATTACCTGACCGCACTATATATTTTACGTCGATACCATCCCGGAGGAAAAACAAAGCCTCCCCACTCCCTCCACTCCCTCGCTTTTTCTCTCTCGATTTAGCAACTCTCAGTCGACGCGGTGCGCATATGCATAAATAGCCACTTCATCTCGCTCGTAGGTAGCTAATTAATGCAGCCTCCTATAATCCTCGTCTAGCGCATTCTCTCTGCACATACAGATATAAGCTCGCGAATCGGTTTAACAGAGTTGCCGCTAAATTATACGTGAAACTGATTTTCTTGCCTATTTGGCAAGATGACGACGTAGACAACTAATGCGGGTAATTAGGTCTTGTTGATTAATTTTCAAGAGCAAGTTGTCGCCCAAGGAGCAGCAAGATATTTCTTCGCCAAATGGCTAATGCTGTTATCAAAACTTGTTCGTTTGTTGTGTCGCTTTCGGATGACTTAATTGACGTTGATTAATAAACTTGCCCACGACAGCCACAGCTTGCTCTTATGACACATAGCACTTGCTTTTTATTTTTGCGAGTTGTAGTGACTGACAGTCAGGTGTGTTTTAAGAGTAACCAGTACTGTTGCGTTACCCGCAAGTCATTGAGTCAGTAATTTTTCGCTTACTGTTTCTGGTACTCACTATTGACCAGCGGTAAAATCCGTTTGATGGCTTATTGAATAATAAATGAGATTGAAAAGCAGTTTTTGTCGTCGAAATAAGTAGCGCGAATATATAATTTAAAATAGAACTGTCCAATACAGGGTTTATAAAGTTAATCGACCAAACGACTCTGTTAAATAATTAAAAGACTAGTCGCTTGAAAATTACAAATATGCAGAGAGCCGTAAATATAAATAAAGTGTCAGTTCTTAATTGGATGCTCACGACGAGAACTGTCAGCTCAAAATAAATCCAGGAAGGCGATTAACTGAGTTTGATGCTGTTGCCTGCGCGGCTAAGATTATACACCCTAGGTATATAATAGAGGTATAGAACGAAGTTATTTATTTTTATATTCTCCGGCGTGAAATTTCAGCGAGCTCATCGATCGCATTTAATCTCATCTCGGCATCGCCTACATTCTCTCTTTGAACGCTACCGCGTATGCTGCATAAGAATCTTGAATCATCGGCGAGTCGTGTTTGAGCACCGTCTTCGCCCTCCTCCGCCTTTACCTTCATTTTTCGTGCATCACGGCTTTATATTTGACAGTTTCACAAATCGCCTGGCAATTTTTTAACAGACGCGTTAGGCAATATGTAGGTAGGAAACTCGACGGCTTCTACTTTTTGACGAAGACGAAATACTTTAATCGACGTAGATATTATCATTGAAACAATTGTGAAGAATGAGGCTTAGAATCTTGACGCGTAATAATTATTAGTTAATGACAAATCGAGAAGAGAATTTTCAGATAACTCCTTGAGACCTTCGCCGCTGCGATTACTCTACCTCTGCGAGACTTCAATGAGCATCTTGTTCCGTTTAAATCCGCGGATATGTAGCTGCACCGTACACATAATAAAAGTTGCTCCGAATATCCCATGATTTATTCGCATTGTACCAAGTTGCACGCCGCAGTACCGTGCGCTCTCCTCTCTTTTTCGTTAACTTTCCTTACGTATAGCACGCGAGATTTACGGCGTATATCCGCTCTAGCCAACAATTAAAAAGTAATCCTCGAAATTGAAGTGCAGCTGCGCGCGAGCGAGCGACCGAGCGATCGTACATGCGCTCGCGCCTACTTTGTACGTCTGACTCGCAGATAAACAGCGGGTTCGTTTCTTTCGTTTGTTTTGCTGTATCCCTGTATCCCTGTATCCCCATGCAAGTTTGCTGATTCGTTGCGCAAGCAAAGTTGGCTAAGAAGAAGGAGAAAAGAGGCAGGCAATTTCGCTCGGGCAAAATTGAAATCGCTTGCCGCGAGAAAAAACAATGACTCACCAGAGTGCCAGCTGGTAGTGGAGGATCGCTCGGTGTGGTTGAGACGTATCCCTTAGAAAGTTGGCGAAGTTGTAGTGCATCTTCGCGTTGTCCGGTAGCGCTCGCAAGCCTGACCTGTACATATTTAGGCAACCGTTAGACCATGCGCTCAGCTTCATATAGCAACTGATTGTAAGACGAGTATTATTAGTCTATTTTTTTGCTGCTGAATAGGACAAACAAAAGATCACGTGACATGGGAGTGATAATCGCTTAACCGAACAAATGAATTCCACGGAGTTAAGGAAACAAAGGTATTCTTTCTTTCTCTTTCTCTCTCTCTCTCTTTCTCTCTCTCTCTCTCTCTCTCTCTCTCTCTCTCTCTCTCTCTCTCTCTCTCTCTCTCTCTCTCTCTCTCTCTCTCAAGTCTATCCTGGATTATTTCATTTGTCAGGTCGACTTTCAACCTCGTTATAATAGTATTAACGTACTTTTCTTTTTTTCTTCTTTCATTCAACATTAGCCCGATAGCATTATCTTTCGCGGAACGGCCAAGTTTTTTTCTGAATTTTCTCCCTTTTTTCATTCGCTTAAACGTAGCGTAAATTTTCATTCTCTCGAGTATTTTCGCAATTTAAAAAACTCATTTTTAGCGCCTGCATGGAAGTAATATAATGGAGGAATATATGCAACGTATAATACCTGAGTAAGGTTTCCCTGGAGCTCCAGTCGCGATTCCTCAAAATAGTGCGACAACATCCGAGAATCAGCAGCAGTGTTATACCACCAGTAATAATACCTCTTCGACGCGGGATCGCTGTCCACGTAATCTGAGCTCCGTAAGCTACCAGCAGTATCCAGCCGATGCTGCAACGTTTCGCATTCAATTATATTAACATTATCTTCTTGTGCCCTTTTACATCTCCGCTCGTTATTGATTTTTGTGCAACCATCGAGTTAATGAAATTTTACCCTATCTTGAATAAAAACAAGAAAATGGTATTTCAGCAATGTTCTTTCAATGTTCTTCAACCTTTTTCCAGAATATCTTTTATCATAAAAGTATCGATTCATATTGTAGCTAGAGTTGAGATATATACCAAGATTTACGTGCAAACAGTATAGAATAATCAATATCGGAAGGAACAGTCAATTGTATCAAATATCATTACTGGAGCTCCAAGTCCAATGATTAAATAGATATTTGGCTTATCGTTCAAAAAGATATTTATCGAAATGTCGCATGCATTAGATTTTGACAACAGATATTATGATCGTCTTTATTGGAATTCTTTATTTGTTGACGATTGGAGCGTACATATGACGATGGCGATAAACAGATTGATCGCTGCGATCTGACGCTAACGATATTTCAATAAAATCCAGTAGTTGCCAATAGACGTGGACCGTGTAAAATATTACATTAAGTCTCTATAGTAGTTGAGTAAAAGTGAAAATGGTCCTTTGGTGATTTTTCAATAGCCAAATAATTGCCAATAGCAAACTCACGAATAGCGCTATCACTATGACGGTTTCCATAATTCAAATCCAAGTTACTGAACTCTCGCTTCAGTGAAAATGCCCTAAACGGCATATCCCCGAAATGACATTGTATTTACGCAAACGAGCAGTTTTTGTATACGAAAGCATCAGCGCGATATCTCATTAAAAGCGAGCCGCGTACAAATTTCCAAGATATTTTCTAGTTTCCAGCTTACATTCCCGTGCAGAACACAAGGGATACTCGACTCGTCGACTTACCTTGAAATATACAAAACTCGCTCAGCGATGACAAATCCAACAGTAATGAGTAGATTGGAAGCCGGCAGAAAGGGCAATACGAGAAACATCCATCCGAGGATGAGTGGCGGATGCCTCTGTTGCTGCGAGGACAAACAAAAACGCGATTATTCAAACGAAAACACAAGAGGAAGGCGACGTGAAAAATTGAATGATGGTCGTTGAAATGAGCAATATCACGCGTACACTTGAACCAAGTGACGAGCACATACGTACGGGATGGGCGACAGGCATAAAGCACTCGATACGCGAAAGGTAAGTGCAATTAGAATTGCCACGTGTAACTTTGGTCTGCCCAAGCCTTTCGCAGTTCCATAATACGCCATGTCGTTGTTTACTTTTTAATTTAAATTGACAACTGCCAGCCTTTGGTTCTCGGTCTCTCAGTCTTCTCTCACTCTCTCTCTCTCTCTCTCTCTCTCTCTCTCTCTCTCTTGCTCTCTGCCAATACGAATTTATCGCGATGATTGATCACGAGCACACGGGAGCGTAGCGCGCCAAACTTTATTTGGGCGCTCTAACAAGGCAGTTATAAAACGATGACCTCGTTAGCCCCACTCGAGTTTGCGGCTGCAGCTGCTGCTGCTACCGTGGCTCGCTCATTTCTATGTGCGCGCACAGCTATATAACTGAAATACAAGACGCTGACAGTTGACGCAACCTCCCCCTCGGCTCCTCGCTCGCTCCCCTACGCCAATTGATGTATTAATTAAGCAGCCGCGCCTGTGCTTTGCTCCTGTAACCCTCTTCCGTGTGTGCACGCGTCTGAGCGCCAGCATTTCGATTCGAATTAGCCTGTCTTTTCCAATGTGTGTGTGTGTGTGTGTGTGTGTGTGTGTGTGTGTGTGTGTGTGTGTGTGTGTGTGTGTGTGTGTGTGTGTGTGTGTGTGTGTGTGTGTGTGTGTGTGTGTGTGTGTGTGTGTGTGTGTGTGTGTGTGTGTGTGCCTATCGATTGGCCAATTTGCTTTTGCTCGACGCCTGCAGGCAGCTAGGACGTATGATATTGTGTGCGTGTGTCTATCGGAAGCTCGGATTTGGCGATCGACTTCTCTGTGTTTGCGAATTTTAACATATTGCAAAAGCTTCAACATAGGACGGATCATTACGTTTTCGCCTTTTCTAGCATTTCTAGCACTTCTACAACTTAATCGTTATCATACTCAGCGCTTCGCCTTCGTCAATGTTTGTAGTATGCAAGGCTGACTTGCAATACTTGATCTAAGCTTCGACCGTCGTGCTACATGGTTGCAAACCTCAATAATACAGCTAGTGATTTATTGTTGCAGTTGTAAGAGCTATGCGTTTTTATCGTGAATATGCAATTGCCTACTAGTTTTATTGTTTTATTGTTTTAATTAATACATTTTCTAATCAACAGTCGAAGGCTAACGCTTCCAATCTACTCATTGATAAAAATATTGAGTAGAATATACCATATTTTGATACACATTCTATATTCTTTTCATAATTGAAATATCGAGATTAAATAGTCCAATAGATAAGAACAACATTCACTTGAAAACAGTAAAGAAAACTCGGCGCAAACATGGTTTAAAAATTCTTATGTCAAATGTGATAAATGTAATGTCAAAATGTGGTACATGTCAAATGTAGGCAAAAATATAGCAGCTGCAGCACCACACAAATATATCAGGAGTAGCATAGATTAAGCCATTTGTTGAAACTGCTATTTCAAGATAAAATTGATTGTCGCTCTATTTTTCATCACATTCGCACTGTACTATACGTAACGGTACAGGACGTACCTGCGCTATCGTTGGTAGTCCGGTCGACTTAAAATTTATCGAACCGATAGACCCTTCCAAAGTCTACGTTAGAGATCTGTCATGCAATGAATATATTGCTGATTCGTGCTAATCCAAAATCGCCAGAGTAAGCGTATGCAATGTTTGTCTTAATCGCTTGCTAAGCCACGATAAAAGGACAATGGGTCAACGATGTATAGGCGCGCATGTAGCTTCGTAGTCTGTCAAAGCTAGTAGCGAATAATAATTAATTAGCACAAGTTGAATTATTCGTTACTTATTTATGCAATCTTTTCGCTTGCCATTAATAGAATCTAGCGGTAATTTAATCAGTTAGCCAAAAGTATGAGATCGGGTGAAATCGTCTCTCAGTTAAAAACTATGCAACTTAATAACTAGTTTATTGTGCCATTTATAACAATACATTGTATAAATAAGTATTTGCAAGTTAGCATCAAAGCACAATGCTCAACCGTCCAGTAATTGTACAGCAGGTGTGTTGGAAAGGCAAAAAAAGGGAAACTCGAACACACGTAGCCGGTCGTAAAAGGGACCGAGGGTCCGCGAGACACGTGCGCCGCAAGGCAATTCGGGAAAACCTAGAGACGAGTGAGCGTGCCGAGACAGACCGGTCGGAAAACTGGGGCCCACCGTCGCTGAAATCGCGTTGTGACCCGAGTGATGCCATAAACGTGCAGCTCTCGTTTCCCCGCCGCAAATTACTTACTGAATTGTTCTAGGGTTTGAGTACTTTTTTCTCCTAATCGAGATTTTGACAAGGCAGCCGTCCTCGAGGGTTAGAGAACCGTTACGTAAACAATGTACAATATGAACTCAGTTTAAGTTCGACAGATTGTTTGTACAGTTTTAAATTGGGGATAAATCGGTTATGCCTCTGTCACGGCTCCAAGCCTCATCCACAGACGTACACGAGCACATTGTGTCGTTGTAGCCGTAAGGCCGTTTTCCGCTTCAAGAGGATAAGCTCGCGAGGGAGGTGATTTCCTCCTGGGTATTGCAAGTCACCGATGGACGGAACGGGTAGTCATTTTGGCGACTCCGTGGACCACGATAGTAACGGACAAGTAACGGAGCGAGAAAATCGGGTGAGGGAAAAATGCGCACGGCCTACTATACGGCCCCATGAGATCGCGGGCCTTCACGTTCAATTCTGTTTCGGCCAAGGAAACAGCAAATCAGCAAGTCGGTCTTCGTAGACGAGGACCATGCGCGCGTCCATTCGCCGATTGGTTACGAACAATCAACTCGCATTGTGACATGGTATTGAGTTAAGCGCGCGGTCTTCTGACGTCATTGCTCTCAATTAAAAATAACGATTAGCTTAACGTCGATCGCAATGAAATCGCAATGAGATCGCAACGGTGGTCGATGTATCGGATAAGCGTTTAAGGCATTCACGTGCGGTTTCATGCCGTATCCCAGTGCGTGTAGCAAATACTTAGGCACCCGTGCTTAAGCCCAAATCTAATAACAAGTAGAATATGAGCTTAATTATCTCCGGGAAATTGGGAATCAAGCATCAGTTTCAGTGATCATGTCGGCATAATCATCATCGAATCCCGTAGCCAGAGCAACCGCACGCGTCTGTACGAATGTCTGTATGTCTACTCGACATGTATCTTGGCATAACGAAAAATCAACTTTGGAACTCCATTGTTCTTCATCGTAACGAGTCAGCGTGAGCGCGTTGTAAGTGTTTCTGTGTATGCTAAGCTCGGTGAAATAAATGTGAAACAGCTGTCGCATCTATTCATCGCACGCGTACCCGTGCGCAAGAGAGGGAGAAAAGAGCGGGAGAAAGAGAACAGGAAAAGCCATTAGGTGAGACTCCGAGGAAAAAGATGGAAGAGCTTGCGCAAGTTTGGTGGTGCCGGTAGTGGCGTGGCGTCAAAAGTTTTTCGGATGCAAGAGAAATCCTCGAGAACAATGCACGACAACTTAAGTGCCTTCGGCGGCACCACTGCAGCGGATCAAAGAGCGATTCGGATAGTAAAACAGTTGCAAAATTCGCCCCTGCACAGCGTCGAAAAGAACGAGTTAGCTTTTTCTCGCGCGTGCTGGTATTGTGTATCGATGCGACAGCGGCGGCAGCCAGCCACAAGTGGTTCGTCGTTAATCAAAACGATCCTCAAGAGAGAAATAAAATGCTAGCGTTTGAGATGATGCACGATAAAATGAGATTACGTTCCGGAGCTTAAATGAAGTTTATAATGAAGGCAGCCGCGTGTCCTAGCAGCTCCTTTCAGGGCGCTCTTACGGACTTGATCGTCATTGAGCCAACTTTTAAGACACAAACTACTAAATCCCTGCATCCTCTTTCGCCGATATGTTCCGAACGCCCAGTGCTATTCGTGATCTTCAAAGACCCCAGTCCGTATTATTTCATTTCTCTTGCAAGGCCAGAATTTTTTCCGTTAATGCATACTTTATTACCGAGACTTTCGTAACTGTTGCGAGCGAAGATATTGCATTCCAAGAAGTATGAAAATAACGCGCTTATCAAGGAGTTGAGTGCTCAACAAAAGATGAACAAATTCCATAAGATTTCCTTTGTCATTCTCTCAGCTTAAAATTATATTGCAGTGGCTTGGAGGTATGCGAGAATTTCGAAAACTCGAAAATACATAAAAAGTCTTCGCCAGCCAGTGAATCCCATAGCCGACACGATCACGTAAATAAAATCGCCATCGACCCAGATCCATCGGGTGAAATGAATGCCAGCAAAGCATTAGAAGCAGTTTGACATTACGTCGTATGACATCACAATAAATATAGGCGAAAGCGCGCACGGGAGTGCAGAGAGCAAGCGAACGAGCTGCGGAGACAATTAGCTCTTCTCACGCACGCTAATACTACAACGAAGAGGCATCGCGAGCTTCGCATGGCTGGGTGCGTCCGACTCCCCCACGTGTACGTATAGAGCAAAGGCCGTTATGAATTTAGTGCGCGTACAGTGAGCGGAGTAGCAGCGTCCTAAAGTGCGGTCGGCCAGCAGTAGTAGCCGATGTCCGCGCCAATGTCGCTGCCCCTACATATACTCTCGCTACTATTGCTGTGTGTGTTTACGAGCCGCAACGTGAATTACGTAACGCACCCGCGACCTGCTTGCCGACGATTGCGTGCGCTGCTGTACTCTATTGCCGAAAATCATGATACCCGCCAATGTGTTCACCAATTTTCTCTCGCTCTTGGAGTCTGCGTGAAATATTTGTTTTGTTGATGCGCTAGTGGGGTATATATTGTTGGCTAGAGTGTGTTATATCGTTGTTAATGTCGAGGCTCAAGTGTGAGTAATAAATAATGATGTCCACGTTTTTACGGCAGCTTGGTAAAGTAAAATTATTATTTCGAAAAATCTTCTTGTAATAAACGTACGCGCATATTATGTTTTATATTGTCTAATAATAATTATTATCTAATCGAAATACACTCCGTCGTAATACGTCGTTGCTAATGCATCATTAAATAAATATGACTGTTGAGTTGTATTTAATATATGTCACTTATCGATATGTAAAGCACTTATACATCTGAGTATTCTTGTTCGAAGGCGGTCTGCAGTGAATACGGATATACAAGTATATATACGTTAGATATACACATATGACAGACGCGTTCCGCGCGTGTCAGAATATTCTTTGCAATGGTTGAACACTAATATTAAATTATTAAATTCTTTATTTATTATTATCGAATCATAGATCCACTTTGTTATCCACCACGTAAGATCAATAGTCTATTAATGAGAAATAAAAATTAATACGAAATTCTTTAATATACACGCAATCCGATCGGTGAGACTAAATTACAATTGATTTCCAAGACATTACTCTAACCGAACGATCAAATAACCATTGTTAAAATAAAGTTTTCCGATTTTGTGTGAAAGTAGGAGTGAGAGAGGAAGCCAAAAAGCTAAATTCGCCGTATCTCTCTTTCAAAAACTATCAGATCCGAGCAGACCAAACTTCAGCTCTCCAGTTGGCCCTATAAAACAGCCAAACTAAATTCGATAGTGCGCTCGTGCGAGTATTTCGCGGCTACGTATAGTATCCGAAAAAGTAGTAGTATCCTCATTGAAATTTCAGATGGAATGTACTAACCTCGAAGTCGCTGAAGGCCTTGTAGGTGAGCACGAGGCAGCCGCCGAAGAAAAGGCACGTCGCCAAGTTTCTGGCGTCCGCTAGGGATGCGACCAGAGGAACCGAACCCATCTGCCAGTCGTGCGAGAGCGTGGCCGGACACAGCATCAGCCAGCAGTTCAATGCCGCCAAGTAACAGAATGTCAGCAGCCTATCGCAGAAAAGGAAAATTTTTTCTTTCATTTCTATCTCTACGTATGATTTTTCGACTTGCAAATTTTTCGAAAAGTGCGCTCGCGAGTTTTCGATTATTTTTTTTCACCGCTTGTCTACTCGTTTACTTTAAAAATAAGCTAAGAAATTCCAAGTCAACACAATCTTGTTTAGAAAGGGTGGCTGTGGTGCTGGTAGATTTTATTTGCTAACTCGCGCTACTTATTCAACTCTTATTCATTCTTCTCATTGGCAATCGCAGTGGCAATGTACTATAATAATTTTTTAATATCATGCTTTCAATTGTTGACACTATCATAGGCTTATTTTACATTAGCATTACAATTAAAATATAGAATATTTATAGGTTCGTAACGTTGTAAAACGCGATCGCCAATAACAATAAAATATCAGTCCATCAATTCTTGTAAGTGGAACAAAAAAGGGGGTCATACAATTACTATTCTGTTTAAAACATCATTGCTAAAAAGTTAAATTCGAGCTTTTCGAATTGCCGATCTAGCTAATTGAAAGTAAAATTCTATTTCTGTCATCTGAAATAAATTGATACAACTGATTAATCAAATCCATCCAAGGATATCACGAAATTCTTAAAAATAACATAAAATGACGTGCTGAGAATGCAATTGCGAGATTGCAATGCTGCTAATTAATGCTTTCAATAGTTCGTTAATCACACAATTAATAATTCAAAGGGCGCTGTACGCGAGAGCAAATGGCGAATAGTTTTGTGTCACAATAGAATCGCCATTTGTGCACAATTGTCGTCCCGATGAAATGGCAGTCCTATACATAGCCGATTATCAAACTGCCCAAGTGCCTCTAATGAAGAAACAATTCTGCTCTCGTGCGCGTTATTACACGTTTCATCTTCTGTATATACGTGTTGAAATATATCCTTTCGTTGAAACTGCTATAAGCTTATTGGTGAATCACCAATAACGTACGGACCAAACGAGATCTCACGTTCCTTTTCAAGTGGCTTTTTTCAGTCTTGTTCTTATTCAAGAAAAAAAACGGCGAGAGGGAAAAAAAGAGCAATAAACGCGAAAGTGAAAAGTGAAAGGGCTTCAGCGAGCTACGGCGCTGTAAAAACGATGGAGGCTACTGTGTTCAAATTTTTTCTCTTTTCCCGGGAATAATTTTTCTTGGCTCGCTTATTTCATCCCGACGGTGATTAATAGCGCACCCGCCAAAACAACTTTCTCTCCTACGTATACCCCCTCTCCTGTTTGACCTGCTCGCTTTACGCACAAAACATCAAAATAATAATTCCCAGCATTTATCAAAAAATCATTACTTCCCGCACTACTTGCATTCTTTCATCTTTTTTCCGCCCCTGATAATTTTTCTTAGACTAGTAGGTTGCTACGTAGTCTTGTGTTATGTGTTCGATTGCTGGAAATTATGATGGAAATGCTCTGTAACATTCTACCACCTGTGCGTTTCGGAATTCACTAGCACGTAAGATAGTAAGATGGACTTGATTTTCCCAAACCACGTGAGGCTCGATTCTCCAAAAATATGTATCAACTAGGATTTTTATAAAGAGGTAACAGAAATAAATTTTTTTAATACAAAAACAGAGAGTTCTCGGGCATCTTTACTTTGGTGATAGTGAAAATTCTTTCTGTGAGTTAGTGATCCGGATTCATCGAATTCACCTTGATTTTATCACTGATCAAAGTGCAAGCGTTCCAACGTAATTAATCGATAGAAATAATTCTATTTAACGAGCAGTCATTTTAATATACAGTAGATCTATAGTGTTTTATGGAGGACAAAGGAATTGGTCGTTAATACAATTCATATATGCGTGGAAAATGATTCTTGAATTACCAGATTATTTACTCCGAGAAAATGAAAGCACGCACGCGTGCCCTAGTGAAAATAACCGCGCAACCCTGTTCATTATTAGCCCAGCAAAATCCTTTTCCCTATCAATATGTAAATTAATTAGATATCTATATATAGAGATTAAACAATTCAGATTTGAATAATTAAATGGCAGCTATGGGAAACAATACGAAATTCTGTTCGTGCAATACAATAACGCGATACGATCGATATATTGGAGCACGCACATACACACAATCGAGCGCCACTGCGCCATGTAATAAACGCCAATGAAATCTTCAATTCCCCAAACGAGACTTCATTTAAAGCCAGCAAATGGCAAATGTAAAAAGGTAGCTTAATCACATTTAACGAAAAGTGAAAAACATCATTGTTGCGTGTGAAGTGAAAATTTAGCGAAAAGAAAGTTGCGTGTGTATGTGAGCGTGCGTGCGTGCGTGCGTGCGTGTGTGTGTGTGTGGCGTGTGTGTGTACGTTTGTCTTTCTGTGTGAACAGGTAGAGAAGTCGAGTTCCTCGTCTGAGCTAATCTTTCAAGTGTAATTGATACGTCTTGCGTGTGGGTGGCTGTTCTTCGTTAGAGGCTCTGCTAGTTTTCGAGTGTGGCTGCCTCCTCTCCGAAACTTCCTTATTTACTGACGCTAGAGACTCACAGACACTTGTACACCGCTCGCACTTTATTAAGTGCAATTTAAGCAGCCTCGTTATCCCTCAGACTCTCTCTTACTTTGGTGTGCGTACTCGGAATGACTTCCGTTGTGATGTATGTATAGTAAACATTGTGAAAGTTATATTTGGTGGATCGATTCCTGTTTTAACGTGTGTATTAACTTGAGACGGATGCTTGAGATTGTATAAAGCAGATTCTTTATATTCTTTGCAAGTATAATGTGCAGAAAGCTCGAAGCTTCTAATCAGTAAACAAATTTCGTTTGCTAACAAGGCACATTTGCTGCGAAGGCGAAGAAAGCGAAACCGGTTCTTGCGCGGCCAAAAAAGCCAACCGCTCTGTTAACTATGCGCGAGCAATCGACGTCGTAGTTTGGCCAAAGAACTTTGATCTCATTCACTCGGACACTTTGAATCGAGTAGCGAAAGCAATTTCTTCGTTCCTTCCCAGGATTTCGAATGCAGATGGATCCTGACGCAGCTGCTGCTCGATCGATTCACGCGAAACTCACGTAATCGCTGTGGCCTACTCGAGAATTGTGTATATGCATTGGTTCGTAAAACTTTCGCCCGAAAAAAAAACAAATGTACATATGGTTGACCTATCGATCGATTGTTTCTCTGCGGATAACGTCGATTTACCTATTCCTCTACAGCTCGTGTTTTTACATCGCCACAGGCAAATTGGCTCCAACTGTGTACGTGTATCTTGTTTCGCCCAGCCAAATTCATTTATTATTCACTATAAAATACAAGTTTATTATCCGTTTCTTATTTGCAGCTCCAGCTTCGATACTATTTTACACGATGTGTAATTTAGATTTCTTTCGTTCTCATCGTTGATTGCAAGATTTAATCTGGATTTAAAAAAGCGAAGATGCTATAATTATGTTCATGGCCTGTTTAATTCTACTTGGTGTAATTATCTCGAGTGACAATTGTGTGGTATACTCATTGCAAATTTCGGAAGGTGCTTCGTTACCGTAAAGTTTGTTAACCATATTTTTTTTATTCAAGTATTCAAGTCACCAGGCTCATTGACTTTACATTAATTTTACTTTCTACCGAACTAAATCGATAGGTGACATCCATCGACAAATTTACTTAGAAGCTTACGAGCTGGAAGTTTTTATGTAACATTGGTATTTTTAGTGTAGAATCGATTCGCATAAGTAAATCGATCTATCGGCTTTAAATTTATCTATCAGCTTCATTTTTTGCTTTACATATTTCGAGCACTGCCAGATTAAATGAGAGAAATTCTCTGATTCAATACATGAACTGTTTGCATTTTGACGAAAGAAGCTGTTGGATTGTCATGATTAATCCTGCAATAGTTGATTGTAACAATTGGTCGATGACTTAGATTTATTTTAACGAACTAACATTTAGCATTATCCTTAAGGGGGCTAACTAGAGTTAATTAGTAAAAATTACAATTTTTTTTTACTGTAGTGGAAAGAAACATTCTATTGAAGGTATCATCATAAATATTTTTTATCTTCAAGTATTCGGTAAATATATTTATTTTCTTTTATTTAAGGCCTAAAATCTCATGTGAGAGCCGTAAAAAATCTCCTTCACCATAACACCTTAATTTTTGAAAAAATTCGCTTTACTATGGTTTTCTGAACTTTGAAGTGAACAAAAATCATTTTTCACAGGCTTATTTTATTCTGTGATGTCGAAGTCACTCTCAGGTACACTTTGAGTAAGCGTAGACTAAGGGTTGCTCTGTTTTGGCTAGCATATAACGCATAAGTCGGGACGAGCAATATTATGAGCACACCAGACTTTTGTTTAATGTGCTCTTAAGGGGGCTTGAATAGAAATCTACCAAACTTTCGCTTAATGGATTTCTGTAAAGAAACTTGAGTTAAAGAGGAGAAATAAAAGATAGCTATGTAAAAAAATTTAAAACTTACTTTTTTTTATTGAAAATTTTGTGATGTTCTAGTGTCATTCTTGCTCTCTGTCTGTCTCTCTCTTTCCCTCTCTCTCTCTTCTTAGACTTCTGACACTTTTATTCCTGATACTTCCTTGATTTTTCTTCTAAACTGCTCTTGGACTCTTCCTGTACTCTTAGATTTTTATTCTACACTGCTCTTGGACTTTTCTTGTTTTCTTCCTGCGGGCTTGCGCAGAGCTTTCTATAATCAGGGAGTGGTTAGGTGGAAATCTCCTTCTTCAGGACCATAGGGTGATGACGAGTAAGTTTTTCTTATTGGTGGAAAGATTTTCTTATTTGAACTGAAATACATAATTGGTCGGAGGGCGTGAGTTTTCAGAGAGAGAGGGCAGTCATTTTTTAACTTGGGCCCTTTTCTTCAGAGATGGCTCTTAGAGTGCCATTTTTGGGAGCGAGAGTGACGCTATTATTTATAATTCATTTATGCAAAAATTATGAATAAACTAATTAATTAACATGATCATAATGTTCACTTGTTATTAAG